TCCTGCCACCGGGGTTACAGAGGGTTGCTTCAGCTGATGGGACATGGCTGGTGCTGGGAAGGGAATGTCACTGGCTTCTCAAACCACTGAGCCACTGTCTCGCCCCAAAGCAGCACAGTGACCAGCTGTGTCAGGCAAACTGGGAGTGCCAACTGTTGCAGAGGTGACAGTCCCTGCTGAGAGCAGGTCAGTGTGTAGCTCAGCCTGCTTGCTGGGCCAGGAGAGGTTGGGATGGTTGCTCAGAGGCAAGAGGACTCAGCCCTTAGGCTGAAAATGGGGCTACCTGCAGCAAGCCCCAGGTGGTGAGCTGGGAGCTGGGGTGCTCCTGGCTCTGCTATTGCCCTGTCATGGAACAGCCAAAGGGTTCTAGGCCAGGTTGGATGGGGCTTGGAGCAATCTGGTCTAGTGGGAGGTGTCCCTGCCCGTGCAGGGAAGTTGGATCTAGATGATCTTGAAGGTCCTTTGCAACCCAAACCAGTCTGGGATTCTGTGGTCCTATGAAATCATAGGACCATTTTGCTGTGGGCCACTGGTCAGGGCACTAACCTGTGTCTATGCTCCCTTGGCAGGAGGTGTATGTGGGCAAGGAGACCATGTGCACGGTGGACGGGCTCCACTTCAACAGCACCTACAGCGCCCGCGTCAAAGCCTTCAACAAAACTGGAGTCAGCCCCTACAGCAAGACCCTGGTCCTCCAGACATCCGAGGGTAAGGCATTGCCACAGCTCCAGCCCCATGTGCTGGGACACTGCTGACATGCAGGGGTGGGGCCCAACCAGCACCCCCCAGCTTAGCATTGCAGCAGAGGGAACCGCTGCGCTGGTCCTCCAGGACCTCAGCAATCCCTGCAGTAAAGCCAGCACTGATGGGAGGAGGGAAGGACATGTCAGGAGCCTCCAACAGGGCCAGAATTTCTCCCTCCCCCCCCTTTCCTTTGCATAAGGTGGTCTTTGGGGAGGTACAACGAGAGGCACCCTGCAGAGAGGTGTGTAAGGTGTGGTGGCAGCAGGGTTTGCGTCGCACACAGGGCAGCTCAGATCTTTTCCTTAATTCCATCAAACAATCCAACGTTGCTCCTTGGGCACTAGGGGCTGCACATGGCTGCACCACACCAGAACCTCACCATGTCTCCTCCAGCCTCTGCCTGTGCACCACAGACAGCTGGAGGGCCCGTGAAGCCACACGGGTGTCCTTGCTGACCCACAGGGGGTACAACCAGCTGTGCTGGCACCGTCTGATTCCCCCTCGCCAGCAGGCCCGCCGTGGGAACATTAAACACTCCCTCAGTGGCTGAGGAGGAGTCTCCCAGCCTGATCTTAAGTACATTTGTCACACCAGGCACTTAATCCATCACAGAAAATGGGCTGGTTTCTGGCATGCAGGAGGAGAGTCCTCAGGCTGGCACCAAGAAGCCAGGTGGGATCCCCAATGGGGGATGCAGCCGTGAAGGAAGGAGTCGGTCCCCACCAGCACATCTGCTGCCCCATGGCTTGGCTGCCAGGCAAGAAAGCCCTCCTTGGGAATTTTCCACGTCTGGTGGAATCCCTTTTCCTTATTCCCAGACTAAAATCTCCATGTGGAGATGTCCTTCCCAGCAGTGTTGCCAGGCCTGGCTGGCTCCTGGCTCTGGGGTCCCCAGCAGCTGCCAGCAGATGCAGTCTGGGGACAGGAGGGAACACAACTCGTGGGGCTGCTGGTGGGGCAGAAGGAGAGTGAGATCCTTCTTGCCATGGAACACCTCTGGTGGCTTTGAGCAAGGAGAAAAAAGGGTTTTCTGCTGAAAATTGATTTACAGAGAGAGGCAGAGCAGAGTGTTTTCACTTGCTTGCCTGCTCTAAGCTGTAGGAGATAACTGTTCCAGCTGAGAGAGAGCATCTGCCAGGTTTGGATGCATGAGCAGGACAGGTAGGTGAGGAATGGGACTCCTGTGTGACAGAGATGGAGTGGAGAGCAAACCTGTGACAAACCCTTCTCATACAAGAGGCAGAAAACTCAGATCACAGCCCACAGAGGCCTCAGCATGTCTATCTCAGAGCCGGGTGTGTATTTGCAAAGCTGGGCACCAGCTTCAAGGAAGCTGCAGCCTTCTTCTGGAGGTCCAGGGATGGGACAACCCAGATCCAGCCCCATGCTGGGGAGGTCAGGACCTCTCCCAAAGCCTGAAGACCAACAGTTCTCACTTGCTTCACTATCCAGCTTCAGCAGCCTTTGCAGGACACAGCAGAGCTTTGGCTTCTCATCACATTTGTGTCTCCTAACACCACTGGAGACACAGTTTCCTAACTAAAACCACCTGGGCTCTAAGCTGTCCCAGCCAGGAGTTTGCAGGGGGGGGAACCCTGTGATCTTTTCCAGTTCTCCTTTCCTCTCCTTGGTGTTGTCACTATCCAGCCAAGCTCACCTATTTCTCAGCTCCAAAATACGAAGGAATTTGGGAGAAAACAGCAGGTTTTGGTCACAGCAGACTTGGGGCTGGTGCTTTGGGGCTGCTGCCTTGGTCACAAGTTTGATTCTTCTGAGCATCAGCTGAGAGTTTGCTGCATTGCCCCTCTTCACTCAATGGGCTTTTGCATTTGTTACTCCAGAACAAAAGAAAGAAAGGAGGAGGAAAATTCAAACGGCCTTGGAGCATTTTCTGCTCTTAGAGTCCACCTGAGCTTCTTGGACACAAAGTGGAAGAAATTACATCTCTCTGCAGCTTCCAGATACCCGAGTGACTCATTGAACAGAGCCACCTCACAGAACCCAGCCTTTATTTCTGGGCTGTGCAGCAGCATCAGGCCTGGCTGTGCTGTTTTCCCTGGAGCAGGCTCAGCTTTGCCACGCGCCGCGGAGCCGGTTCTGCGGGAAGAGGGAACAAAAGAAGAGAGGAGCACGGTATGGAGAGAACACTTCTCTGAACCTGGCTATCCTGCTGTAAATGGTAATGAGAAATTCTGCTTGGAGGATGTTATTGAAAAGCTTGTCCTGGCACATAAGATCCTTGTCTGCAGCCTGTGGGATTAACTGGAGTCTTTCTTCTGCCTCCAGTGAGCGGTGGGATGGGCTGAAGAGGCTGGCGGGGAGTGAGAAGTCTTGTAGGGTCTCAGCATCTGGAGAGAGCAAGGATGAGAAGAGGGAGAAGTTGTGTCTGGGCCTCTGCAGG